AATACATTTTAAAAGTAACCTTCCCAACACTGGCAACCAATCAGGGAATGAACCATTCTTCCCTAGCAACCTGTAGCTATCAGAGGGCCACAAACATGTTCCTAGGCATGTGTGATTATTGCCTTATTTCCAGTGTTTTTTTTAATGCTACCTTTTTTCTGCTTTTATATGCCTCTGTGTTCTATTCAGTAAAGATTATAAAAATATTCTTACCCTCCAGCTTGCACACACAGTTATTGAGTAAAAATGATCTTGCCAAAATTTCGAGATGTGGCAATGATTATTTTGTGAATCAGTGTTTATCCGTGATGGTACAAAGTAAATACTTGCTCATCTAAAAACATCTGAAAGTTTCTTCTCAGTACTGAGTAAATTGAGGAACTGTTGTATAAGGAACAGTTAATGAGTGAAGAAAGGAATAAACAGGCTAACAAAACTGTATGTTTCCTTTTTTATAATTGCAACTTTACAGACTCTTAATTGTAGGGGTGGAATATACATCAAATGTAAAGTGTTTAGGCTGAACATGTATATCAATTGCCATGTTATCTATATGCTCTTTTCATGTGTGCAGCATAAGCAGCCCACGCAGCACATATAGTGTTTGATGATTGTTTTGTTCGCCATCGCTCAAGCGGTGCGGGTCAGTTCATCCTACAGCATACTGATTTTGGTTGTTTGTTTTTAATCTGTGTTTTCAGAAAATATCCTGGTTTCATATTGAGATTTTAAGTCTTTTCTCAGAGCGGTGCTGTGCTTTTGCTCCTTCTTAGTTTAACTTTTCTTTTTCCTGCATTTTGCTTGTTGAGCTCGATGTCCAGGCTTGAACACGCATCAGCTTTGATCTCCATTTCACTAATTAATTTCTATTCACTCTCATGTCGTCTCACGTGTCCAGTATTACACAGGATCCAGACGTATAGTAGACACTGAAAATGTCTTGTTAGAGCTGATGCATTTTTGATGGATATGAGGCTGAAATTCTCTTGAAGGTCTTACTCGTAGCTCTGTTCCTTTGGTCAGAGGTGGAGTTTATCTGCATTTCAATTCTTTGATGTATGCTTTGATCCCCACATCACAAATCCCTCATTATGCTGTTTTAAGTGTTTTCTTTAAGCAGCGTTTCCAGTTGATGTGAAGACTCTGTAATCCTTGTTGGAGCTGAAGTTGTACGGCAGGATGTTTGTTGGAAACCCTCACCGCTCTGATAGCCTCCCTGGTAGGAGGGTTTGTTCTTTAATAACCTCTCCTTGCTGCTGTTTTATTGCTTTGATCAGAGGTGGTGGTCCTCAGGGATGCTTTTCTGCTCACTGCTACAGTCACCTCTTTCACTCTCACACACTGTCATTTAAAAATTCCCAGCGCTACTAAAGCTTTTCTTTTGGCTGCCAAACAGAAGTGGAGTAAGATATTTCCGACATCTTGGGTTTTTGACGTGACAAAGATGAGTGGAGCACTTAAAGCTTGGATAGACGTGAAAAATATCCTGTGTAAATGTTCGTCCTGAAATATGAGCGTCTGTGTCGAAAGATGTGTTTCCTCGAAAAAATATGCATAAAACTCAAGAACAGCAGATAATGGTGACTCAAAATGCACTTTTGGGAGAAACATCAAGTCAGCAGATTTCTGATTTGGTGTAGAATTCCTGATAAATGAAGCTGAAATAATTAAAACTGGTGGTCATAACTACAAAAGACATAAAATACATAAAATTCTTAACTGTGTGAATATCTCCCAGGGCTCAAATTAGTGTTTGGTAAAAATGACTTTTATGTGTGCTGGGTGTTCTTCCTGGAACCTTTTGAAACTTCATTTAAAATGGCCAAACTTGCTTCCTGTTGGGTATTTGAAATCACTGTTGTATAATAGGCCAGCTGTGAGCTGTAGTTTTAATATCAGAGTCACAGAGTGAGATTGTGTTAATTATTTTAGTTCTTTTATATTGGGTTGTTGTTGTTGTTGAAGGCCAGTTTAAGATGGCTACATAGGTTGTTTTTTTTTTAAACTGTGCTTTCTGAGTCTCAGAATGCAAATCTACAACTTTTAAGAAATCTTCTTAATAGCTAAACCTTTACATGACTGAATGGAAATTTTATTTTAAAAAAATGGTGTAATAAGTAATATGATTCTTAATCTTCTTAATCTCAGCATGGCCTGAGATTAAGAATCATACTGATTAAGAATGTCAGCATGAGCCTAAACTCCCAGTTTTTACATGTGAACCTCTTGACTGGAGAAAATGTAAAAACATTTGTCTTTTGTCAGGATGTCCAGGAGGCATATTTAAACACGTGACAGCAATAACTGTCACAATTTTGTATGTGTACGCCTGTGTTTAATAAGTGCAGAGTAAAATGTTCTAATACATTTACAGCTGGAGATTTGTGGGTCGGGACACATTTGCAGTTAAAGAAAGGTGTTTGCATATTGTATTAATTTGAATCACTATGCAGAAAACTGTGGTACAATAGCTGTGATTATAACACTGATTAACATGTGATTACACTTTAAGTCTGACCGCTGCAGGGTTGCATTGTTATGCAAGTGAAGGCGTCCAAGTGTCTAACCTCTCTGAGTGATTATTTAAAGAGTAACAGTTGAAAGGATGACAGGATGACTGGATTGTAGACATTTGAATCATGAACAATGACTTCCAGGAGAGTCTGTGAGGATTCAAATGACTTTTATGTTGTGTCAGAAGCAAGTTTCATATTATGCGGTGCTTTGCTGGTTTAATCATTTATGGGAGTTGTATCAGAGCAAAGACGGAAGGCCTAGACGAGACTCTAACAGAGATCAGTGACTTGTTGGTGTGAAAAGCTGCTGCTGAACAACAGGACGTTGTCTCCTTCTAACTTTGACTGCAAAGAGCTGCTGAGTTAGTGCCTCGAGCAAGGTTATAGATCGACTCTGATCTATGTAGAAAAAGAGGGGTTGTCTTATTTGAACTATGTGACGAATCGGTGACCGTGTAAGATCTCAGAGAGAGTGTGTAACAATGAAAACAAGGTTTAAACCTCCACTAAAGAGAGCATGCAGAATGTCCTGTTAGACAGGCAGACAGATGGATGATAAAAGTTACGTCCCCCAAACTGCTTCCCACCTACAGTTTGTTGCTTCATTGCTGTTTTATCGTTGAGTCATTTCATAAAAACCTTTGACAGTTTGGAGCTTCTGGGGAAGCACAGGCGACATGTGTATCTGCTGTAGTTGACAGGAGAAGCTGTCAACACATAAAGAAATGAAAGAAGGGCTGAAACAAAGACAACATGTTGTCATGCTGTAGTAGATCGTTAGCTAAACATGCAGAATTTTGCTTCCTCTTTGTTTTGGAGCCTTTGAGTTTTAGTTCATTAATGTTTAAAATGGAAATGGGATGCTAATGCCATGCCCTCTTTTTGTGTTATCAGGAGGCACAGCATCCAGGCAGAAAGGCTTCCGGGGCTGTATCCGCTCTCTGCAGCTGAACGGCGTCACTCTGGACCTGGAGGAGAGGGCAAAGATAACACCAGGGGTTCAACCCGGCTGCCCGGGTCACTGCAGCAGCTACGGCTCGCTCTGCCAGAACCACGGCCGCTGTGTGGAGAGAGCCAATGGCTTCCAGTGTGACTGCAGCCTGTCAGCGTATGCTGGAGTTTTCTGCCAAGCAGGTGAGCAGATACAGGAGCACACATTTTACTATTAATATTATGTATGGCTTAGGAAGTTGATTGCACAAGCTTTTCTCTTATAAAAACAGATTGTTTTAGATACTTAGTGATGCTGACCCCCAGGTCTGTCCCACTCATTTTTTTTTTTGTTTTGGAGTCCTTTTTTTATGCTGGGTTTACTTCTCTGTGGTTTCTTTGTTCTTTATTTAATGCAGGTTTTGTTTTTCTATCTATTTGTCACTGCCTTAAGTCCTTGTTTTTTAGTTACAGATTTCATTTAGAGTTTTATAGTTCCCTCAATGTTTCCTTTGTCCTCATCTCCTGTGAGCTTCCCTCTGTTAACTTTATTCATGTGTCTGTATCCCCTCGTTTTTTTGTTTCTCACTTCTCGTTTCTTTTTGGAAGTTATTTTCTCTTTTGTCTGGTTTTAGTTTAATCTGGTTAAACAGTTTTTTCATCAGCCCGTCATAAAGGTCTCAGTCTGCTTCACGCATTCTGCATCGTGGTACTCTCACTTCATTAAACATGACAAATGTATTGTTTATGTGTAGAGGAACTCCACAGCAAGGTGAGGTATATGGCCCAGACATTCGCCCTTATCTTATTTTGGCTTTTTGAAGTTTGTCTTTTTTGTTGTTTGTTGCTGGGTAGCTTCTTATTGACGAGACACCTGAGGTCGAATGAGTAGAGTAAAAGTCCAGTATAACCAAAATGTCTTAAAGGCGCTCCATCGTTGATGAAAAAATGCTGAGCTCTTAGTTAATGTAAGATTACTTCTCAATAATGTAGAGCTAAACTTTATGGAAGCATGATTTTCGAAACACACCGTGACATCTTATTTGATATTTAAAATACTTTTTGTCACGGTTCTGGGTCATTTTGACCCAGCATTTTCAGTTTCTTGTATTTTTTTTTCTCAAAGATATTTTTATTGATTTAAAGCAACAAAGAAAAACAGATACACACAAAGAATTGTTAAACAACAGACAAGTAAGTTTCACAGTGACTGTTTGAACTGAAATATTAGAATACAGATTAATGACACACTCACATGTCTTGTAATTGCTTACATCAGTTAAAAAATACAAAAAAAACATTGCAAATACAACAACAAAAAAATAAGACAAACACACATGACTAGAAAAAAAAATAATAATAATAATAAAATAACAACATTTTTTTTTTAAATAAACAAAAAAAAAAGAAGAAGGGGTGGGGGACTTACTGAGTAATGCTGGAAGTCAGGTTCGCAACCTGGAGGCTGGAAAAGTATTTCAGGAATTGCCCCCACACCTTGTAAAACTTACCGCTGTTATTACTAATCGCATATCGGATCTTTTCAAGGCTCAGATAGTACATAAGGTCCCTCAGCCATTGCGTCTGGGTGGGCAAAGGGGCACCCCTCCATCTTAGTAGGATTGCACGCCTAGCTACAAGGGAGGCGAAGGAGAGCATGCAACGCTGTGACGAGGTCAACCGTGCATCAGCCTCTCCAGTGGTGCCAAAAAGTGCAACTAATGGGTTAGGATCCATATGGTATCCAAGAATTAGGGACAAGGTTTGAAATACATTTCTCCAGAATCCTTCAAGGCTAGGGCACGTCCAGAACATATGGATAAGGGAAGCCTCCGCACTCCCACACTTATCACAAGTGGGGTCAACATTCGGATACATACGAGATAGTTTGACTTTGGAGAGATGAAACCTATGCACGACCTTAAATTGTAAAAGACAGTGGCGGGCACATAGGGATGTAGAGTTAACTAACTTGAGTATAAGTCCCATGTATCCATAGACAATGACCGATTTAAATCTTGTTCCCAGGCCGTTTTAATCCGATCTATCGAAGAACCGTTCATGCTCACCAGCCTGTCATAGATAAGAGAGATAAACCCTTTACGTGTTGGAACTAGGGTAAGGGGGCATATCCCCTGGGCTTGCAGCTGGTGCTACCGGGAAGTTTGGAATCTGAGATTGGAGGAAATGTCTGGTCTGCAGATATCTGAAAAGATGTGTACGTGAGCAAAAAATGCAAAGATATTGTCAGAAAACAGATCATTGAAACATGTAATGCCCCTGTCACGCCAATCTTGAAATATAGGATCAGATAATGATGGCTGAAAAAAAGGGTTAGAAAAAATTGG